CCAAACCCTTCCTCCCCTCGCCCCAGGAAGCCATCCACGATCCACCTATGACAGTATGGTTATGCTAATCACCACCAAGGGCATTTCGGAAGGATTAAAGGATTACTGGGCGTTAAGATGATAATCCTTGCAGAAAGCAGAACAAAGTTCTAAATCGCTAGCAGGTTGACTTAGGAAATGTACCATTAATCATAAAAATAAGAAAAAAAAAATCCCTTAGCGCTTGAACAATAAACGATATTATGAATTAACCGGTACTTCTGGGTTCCGAGGAAGTTCCACTGCAGCCTCGTAGCAGCGCTTCTTCACTTATCGAAATAGCTGTCAGTGATTTCCTCTGTTGAATATTGCTTTTTTTAAACAGTTATGACATTCCAGGCCTTTGAAAACCTAAAACGAATATCGATTTGGATGAATAGAAACGACGAGACAGCAACTGTCTCAGACGATATACCATCATCAAGCAGTGCTTGCAACGAGGAGACCCAATCGGGAAGAGCTGCTGCGCATAAATCTAGGGAAAATTCTAGAAGGCTGAAATTGCGGCGTCTGATTGAAAGAAATAACGATGCGGAAACTCTTGAATCGGTTAATGTTTCCTTCAACTAATTTTTGAGATAACAAATATATTATATGTGGGACATGTAGATTTTCCTGAGCACTAGTTTTGTTCTGTATAGATAGTTATCTCCTTCGTTTGTCAAATTTGATTATGGGCGGATTTAGGGGGTGGGGGCGATGGGTCTTTCGTCCCCCTCCCCCAGCAGTGCAGGCACCAAGTGCTTCAAAAGTCGGGGTTTAATGCTAAAACTGAAGAAAACTCTCTTCCGCACTTTTCTCTCCCGTCTTCCTCCCTCCCCCCTCGTCACCATATCAGTAGACTCATTCTCCTCCCGCCCTCCCTCCCCCACCGTAGGAATTTGTCCTGGATCCGCTTACGTAAGTGATAGTGATGGGGAAGAACGGCTGTTGAAGAAAGTAGAGGGGAAGTGAAAGTTGTAAAAAAGCCAAAATTGGAAAAACAGAATCCTTCCCATATCTGCTGCATATAAGAAATAAAGGCAGTCATAAGTAGTCAGAGCTGCTCATAGTATCCACCCGCTGGCAAGAGTACCGAAAGTTACCTAGAATCAAGTTAATGGTGAGTTGGCTCACAAGTTTGTACCAGTACCAATCTGCCATTGAAACGAATGGACCAGTCGTAGAGACTGGTTTTTCCGCTAAGGCAGTCGAACCTTCGACATCGAGCACGA